CACTATTTATAGAAAACTCATTCCTGCCGGGTAATTTATGCATATTTCTAGTATGCATATGCATATTTTTAATACTAGAAATATACATTAAATTTACACATATATATATATATATATATTAATACACAATTAGCGGCACCAATTACTAGGCTCCACAAAATCAATAATTGATTTAAAGGTGGGCTTTTGTGTGGGCTTCTATAATAAAGTTCGTAGCAATACCCAACAATTGAGTGTCAATAAACTTAAAACTACTAAAGTAACTAAAGTTCTTATTAATAATATTTGTGAAAAAAGTGCTTCTGCTTCAAGTGTTGTTTTTCTCCACAGCTAAATTTTATCATGCGTTTGACACACACAATGACTCTTCGACATAAGAACAAAAAGTGCACAGTTATTAACTACTAGCTGTGCCCGCGGTGTTACCCGCGGTTTATTAGGGATATTTTCCCGCAGTAAAAAGTAGCCTATGTGTTAATCCAGGGTGTCAGCTAACTCCATACCAAATTTTATTAAAATCACTGCAACCGTTTAGACACGAAGAAGTAACAAACATACACACTTAAAAACTTTCGTGTTTATAATATTAGTGTGATTAGTACTATTTAATAATCGTAAAATGAGCAAAATATAAAATTTTCGTTAGATAAAAATATTGTTCACACATAAAGTAGCAAAGTTTCCACCTGTTCAAAAAAATGTTGAACAAAGACAGATGGGAAGGCCGTTATATTTTGTAACAGGTGCTAAGTCGCTGAGGCTTATTTTTTATATTCTTTTGGTAACGTGCTCACTATCATCAGTATGTTAGTAGTTGAAGTTATCACACAGGCATCACACATTTTCACGTTCCAAATTATGATTTCGTTTTAAAATAAGATTAACATAACATGAGACTGCAGAGTAAAAAAAATCAGGTTTCAATTGTAACAATATGTCATTTACGTATTTATTAACGTTATCAACGTCCATTCGTTCAATTCTATTATCTACTAGAGTCTGTGCGGAAAGAGAATGGGATTTAGATTGGAGGGCGCTGTAGTGCTTTTCTACCGTATCTGTAAGGTTTTACCCCTTTTAGTCATGATTAAATACAAAAAACCGCAAGAAATCACAACAACAAACAAATCCGTATCAATACAAAACTTTGACGTTTTACAGATTGCTGGGTTTGATTGCCAAATAAAAATCTTAATGTTAGTTCCGTTTTCGCCACGCGCATTCTCTATCCACACAGACTTTATTAATATTATAAATGTATTTTTTTTATATTTGCAACTCAACCACACAAAAATTACTGAACGGATTTGGATAAAATTCTGTACGCATATAGTTCATGACCTGGATTGAAACATAGGATAAGCAAGGTAATTTTAAAAAATGTTTGCTTCCTGTGGGACACTCAAAAAGCTAACGTGCGGACAAAGCTGCGCGCTCTAGCTGAAAAAATGCAATGAAATATTCTGGTGCACTTAGGCTTACCATTTTGGAATTTCAAAAGTCTTGACGAAAATCGTGACATTTCGAAAAAAGTCCGGATTTTTTAGTCACAAAAAGGTATCATTACTCACTTAGTTACAATGGTATAGTATATAAATCAACATATACTTTTATTATTCATATTCAACGTAATTTAAAAATCCGAACAATTAAAAGAACTGGACAGAGTCCGGACTATAGTCTAAAAGTCCGGAAATGTCCGGACTTATCCGGACGGATGGTAACCCTAGGTGCACTTAAGTATATTCTTTTGTAAACTATTGTCACGGGAGAGTTAACACATTTGACTCTATGGTTTTCTATGCCATAAAGTTTACTCGAATGACATTTAGTTAGCACCCTTCGCGCTACTGAACGCTTGGCTGATTACAACCCTATTCATTTGCCTGACCTGAACCTAGAAATTTTTTTTTTTCAGTAAAATTAACTTTTTTCTGTGGTGGATCGGCAGTGAAAGAAATCCTAGAATGCGCCATCTGCTTAATTTCCCACGCATTTGAGCATTTTATAAATAATCCACTGAGGTATGTACGTACGGCTTCCTGCAACTTTATAACGAAACCTTGAAAACTACCAAATCTGTGCTATCGTATTTTGAATGCAGTTTGGAAATACGATATCATTACATTCTAACAGCATTTGACGACCTCTGTGGCCGAGTGGTTTGTGCGCCGTGCTCTGTTTTATTGAATAATAATATTACAGTAAAATATGAGACGACTTTTATTTTCTCATACTGGGTGATGAAAAGTAGATGTGGTAGAGTGTACCTATCACTCGGGCGCAAAATATATTTTTGGCTCGGGCCACGTACTTTGGATCCCTCGCTACTTTGAGAATTCTACTCTAGAATCCCTCACTACACTGTGGATTCAAAAAAGCGCCCTCGGCGTAAAAATACTATTTTGCTCCCATAAGATACAATCTACTAATTGCTATTTTCTACCCCTTCTTACCCCCACTTAAGCTAGAGAGTTACGTTGGGCGTAAAAAAAAGGAATCTAGGGTAAACTACAACTGCATCGTCATGTTCGTTTGCCGGCAGTTTTCGTTATTTGTCCGGAGTCTGGAAATCATATAAAATGTCGGTAGAATCCATACGATTCCTGATCATCTGGATAACCTAACTTTCTTTTTTTTTGACCCGGAGAAATGCATGACGCATACCACCCGGTTATGTGGGACTCCTCCCCCCATCTCCCGAGCACCCACTCGGCGTCCCGTAGGGTTGGCTCAGTGGCTGCTCGGGATGGGGGGGGGGGGGCATTACCCACTAAAACTCCGGGATGTGCCCTCCTCTGCCGGACGTGACGGCGTAGGTTCCTTATTGAGAATCAAACCACGCCGATCCTAACCTAACCTAACCTTATCTGTACCCCTGCAAGTGGGCGTTAATAGTATAAAAATAAGGTTGTTAATTAGTGTTACTAATGATGAGGATATTTGAGTCTGTAGCACCCATTACTTTGTGTCAGCACCTGCATTTTCCTAATAAATCTCACACAGTAAGTGACAACGTAACTTCAGAATGTTAGTGATAAGAAAAACCTTGAAACACGCAAGTAAATCATTATGTGCTTATCAGACCAGAACTGATAAAACAATAATTTATCATTCTAAATGCTAAACTATTGTTTTCGTTTTACCGATTCTATTGAATGTATTTCAATAAACTTTTAGTATAAAAATAAGTACCTATTGAAATCCGTACTAATATTAAACATGCGAAAGTATGTCTGTCTGTTTCTTCTTCACGTTTATTAAAATGAGATTTGGTATGAAATTAGTATGAGTTTCAGGAAAGGACATACGATAGCATTTATCCCAGAATTTATTAAAGTTGTTTGAGATTTTTAGGGTTCCGTAGTCCTGACAAGGAACTCTTATAGTTTTGTCATATCCGCCTGTCTGTACGGTTTTACTTAGACACTGTAAGCACTAGAGAGCTGTAATTTTGTAGAGATATGTATATCAATCATGTCGACCAAATGTAGAATATTTTTTAGGGTATATGTAACTTGGAGATGATTTTATTTTTTCGTCTACCATATCGTGTGGGGTGTCGTTGAATAGGTCCTTTAAAATTACTTAGGGGTTCCCAAGACTTTTTTTGATTTAGGAGTCCGTTTGCGTAATAGTGAACTTTAAACTGCTAATTTTTGTTCGTGTCGCCGCCCTGTAAAAGCTAAACTATTGGCTTGAAAATCCTGGAAAACTTCCTGATAATAGTGCTTTTCATGAACTTCTAAGGAAAATTATAACGGTTTAAATAGATTTATTAGTTTAAGAGTAATAGTCGCTCAACTTATGTATTAAAAAAATCTGACCCAATAAATTTCCTTAAAAAAATACTTTAAAAGTGGCTAAGACGAAGTATTAAATTTGCTTAAAAGAAAGACTTTCCAAAATATATTGTTTTGACGACGAGCAACTACGGAACCCCCACACTGCGCATGGCACGACATGCGATTGGCCGGCTTATATATACGTATTTATATATTTTTTACAGAAAAGTCGTTGTCTAATTCACGTCTGTGAAAACTACGGACAAAAACTAAAGAAATGATAAAAAGTATCAGACTATCTTCATTCTATAAATAAGAAAGTTAATCGCAACTTTTTCAAAGATTAACTTAACGTACCATTGTGTTTCTTGCTTGATTACACAGTAAGTTGACAGTAATGTCTATTCTGGCATGATTCTCTAAACTTAAAAGAAAATTTAACTAACTCAGTCTCTCCTTTTCATTCTGTATAGAGCATGACAAGGTAATTTAAGTTATAATTTTATTTATTTTTTAAGCATTTAACTGCTAGATGTTTAAATCTAAAGAAAACTTTTTTTTTTCTAGTAAACTTTTCTTTAGATTTAAAGGTAATTTAAGTTAAGGCTAGGTTTAGGGAATTACGCCAGAATCGATACCATAATTAGAATAAAATTTTACTCATTTAAATTAAACATCATGAAACGCATTTATGCGCATGCGACGGTTGATAGTTGTTAAGGTTGTAAGGTACTTATGGAGAAAACGAATCAGAGTTCCAATATCAACTGGTGACCCGGTGTATTTACGGTTGAGTACAGTAGACCCGCGATAATTCGGACCCCGTCTAATCCGGCGCCCCCTATAATCCGACACACTTATCACTGTTGATTTGCACATAAAATCAATTGAAATAGATTTTTAGATTTGTAATTTGGCGGATTATAAGGTACTTTTATTCCAAAAATTTCGGACTATAGAGAGTGGACCTAATCCGAGATCGCCCTGCAAAACGTTTATCGGATTACTAGTCGGGTCTACTGTATATATGTGAGGGTGGCTGGTGTGGCAGGTAGAACTGCTTTACCAGCTATCTTCACATCTGGACTTCACCATCACTTAACATCAGGTGGGGTGAAGTCTTTAGTCGGACCTACCTAAATATATATATATTCAAAGGAGAATTTCTCCTAGGATACCGTAGAATGGTTAATTAATCCCGTTTTTTTATTACAGGTACTCATAAAAAGGATGTGTTCGAAATAAAAAAGAAGAAACTGCTAAATGTAATTCAGTGTGGTGTAGTGATGTGATAGTGATAATAATATTGAGGGGAGAGTTAAAAAAAATGGCGGAAAACGAAGGACCAGTAACGGTGCAAGATTTACCGATAGCTTTTCAGGTAAGCAAAGATAATTTAATTTATACAAATTATATGAACCCACGCTTCGAATTTTCTTGGTTTCCTGGGCAGAGTTTTGTTTAACTTTGTGAAATTTAATTTCTTCATGTATATACTCGTATATACTATTTTTAGCATTTAACTGCTAGATGGTTAATAATAATAATAATAATAATAAAAACTCTTTATTTTACACCACAAAAAAAATATATATAAAACATACATAATGGCTGCTTAAAGTGTAAAAATGGGCGGTCTTATCGCTAAGAGCGATCTCTTCCAGACAACCTTGGGATGGAGAGGACAAGAAAGAAGCTGGAAAGACGGCGGTGTAATTAACTGCAATAATACGCGAGAAAATCTATGTACAAACCGAGTATATAAAACAAATAAACACATATAAATACATAGATATACATAAATACACTCATATATACATAGGTAAATAGATACATATATATATATATATATATATATATATATATATATATATATATATATATATATATACATACTAAAAAATACATAAGTATGTACCATATATAAGTCTAGTTCTTTGAGAGGAAATAAATAGAATAGAAGAGCTATAAGGACAAATAGTGAGATTTTAGAAGGTTTTTGAATCTGTGCAGAGATTCTGCACGTCTAATGGAAACTGGAAGCGAATTCCATAGGCGAACAGCTTGCACTGCGAATGAGCGGCCATAAAAAGTTGTTCCGTGCACAGGTGTAATCAGAGCAAAATTTTCTGATGACCTTAGGGACAATGTGTTAGAGGTGTGAAGGAAGTTAAAACATTCGTTAAGATAGCGCGGGGTCAAAGGATTAAACAGTACGTTATAGAGAAGAATAAGGATATGAGTATTCCGGCGAAAGCGAATAGGCAGCCACTTGAGCTGTGAACGAAATTGAGAAACATGATCATATTTGCGCAGGCCAAATATGAATCGTATACAGAAATTCTGAAGCCGCTCAAGTTTATCAAGCTGGGCCTCCGTGAGATCTAGATAGCAGACGTCAGCATAATCAAGAATAGGAAGCAAGAGTGTCTGAGCTACGGTAATTTTGGTGGTAGTGGGTAGGAAATTACGCAGTCTCTTTAAAGAAGCTGCGGAAGCAAACAGTTTACGACTGAGCACTTGCATCTGGGGTCCCCAACTCATGCAGCTGTCGAAAGTTAAACCTAAGTTTTTCACTGAGGTGCTAAATGGAATATTGGTGCCCGCAAGATGGACTTTGGGGAGTGATTGCCAGTCAACTCTAGTGATCATCCTGGTTAAATCGTCGACAAAAATCCACGTGGACCAGGCAGCAGACGGGACTCGAAACCCTTAGCTATCCGGGCGAATGCACTGACCATTATTTATTTATTTATTTAAACTTTATTGCCACAATTACAAAAATGGACAAAAGGCGGACTTAACGCTAAAAGCATTCTCTGCCAGTCAACCTTTAGGCATAAAGAAATCCACGAATGCGGCTATAATAATAAAAAAAAGTGATTTACTTTAAATATACACCAGTAAAAGTAACTATATAAATATTTATTTAAAAATAAACCTAAATGCATAGAATACATTTAAATATATTACTTATATAAATATTTATAATATATATATATATATATATATATATATATATACATACACATACATAGACATAATTATTATTAACACCGTTTATAAAATATATTGATGATGAGACTGTGAAGGGAAATTGTGAGTTAAACTTTACGTTCTTAACTTATCTATACATATAATAAAATGGTAGGAAAGTCAAAACTGTACATTAAATATTTTTTTAAAAGAATACTTGGGGTGTGATCTACAATCGATACCGAAGCCAAAAATACAGCTTTTAGAATTTATGTCTCTTTGTCTGTATATGTATGTCCGGGAAACTCAAAAAGTACCGCATGGATTTCCTTCAAATTTGGCACGAATATTATTAAGAAGTCAGGTCAACATATAGGCTACATATTATCGCGCTATCACCTACGGGGAACGAGCAGTGAACCTTTATTTCTAACTTACTCCACGCGTACGATGTCGCGGGCGGCCGCTAGTTGGTAATAATCTTTTAATTGGTGAATATATTTTCTTAATAACTTGAAATGTAAAATTTGATAGCAGCCTAACGTGCTAACCACTTGCGCCATTGAGCTCCTCAACATAAAATACAATTAATATAATATGTATTGTGGGCAGCAACTACTGTCTTGATGTGTGTCAGCCTAATGTGTCAAATTGATGTTAATTGTTTCATCAGCTTGTTGCGTGTGACCGACCAACGAGCTATTTACGAAATTATTATATTAACATGCGAATTTAAGTCTTGCTACTCGTTTCAGACACATTTTACGTGGTACCTATTTTACATAAGAAAGCTTATAGGAGCCACCCAGCCATCCATCACATCATCGGCCATTGCGAAAGTCGCTTAACTTTCACGATCGCTGACCAAATTCGCTAACCACTGCCACCATAAAACTCCTCTATAATGTTTATGTAGATGAACAAACGTACATGACTCATTATTAAAACGGTAAAAAGTAGGTTTTATAATACCTACAGTCCACCTACAGCGTAGCTATGGAACGTGTGATATGAGTATGTGTATTCGATACGCCATTGTTGTGTGACAATAAAATTTAACGGTACCTTTCCTATTTGTGTATATACCTACTGATAACATTGATAGAGTCTGTGCGGAAAGAGAATGGGAATTAGATTAGAGGGCGCTGTAGTGCTTTTCTACCGTATTTGTAAGGTTTTACCCCTTTTAGACATGATTAAATACAAATAACAACAACAAACGAATCTGTATCATATATTGTTTTAAACTTTCATGGTCACTAACATCTCTTATCTATTAGACAAGTCCGTCTGTCCGTGGTGCTGTTTCAGCGGCCAAACCGTAAGAGATAGATAAAGAGAATATTTAAGTCATAAGTTAAGGATAGTCTGTTAAGACTACAAACCGGATTTGAGTAACGTAGCACTTCCGGTTTTCGAGAAATCAGGTTTTGGTGAACATTTGGTTCACTGGTTTACTAGTTATAGCTATTAACTGGTTACTCAGTTACTCCGTGATCATGGCGCTTGCAACAGTGCCGAAATATCGGAGACTCATGAAAAACAAGGTACATGGTAGCAATCCCGATAATAGCTATAAAATCTGTATCAATACAAAACTTTGACGTTTTACAGATTGCTGGGTTTGATTGCCAAATAAAAATCTTAATGTTAGTTCCGTTTTTCGCCATGCCCATTATCTTTCCGCACAGACTCTACCAGGATTTTTCTCATGGTACTGAGCAGCAGTGTTGCCAGATCCGATTTTACAAAATCGGGAGGCGTTATACAGGATTAAAACAACTGCTGTTTCATACAGAAGTGCATCAGCTAATCGACCGAAATGTATGAAACAGCTGATTTTTTTTCGCGTTTTCAGTTGGTCCCCTAATAAAAGTTGTTCCTTTTGATGGGTAGAATCACCCCCTAAGAGGTTGTTGGTGTTTTAAAATTAACCCTGTAGAAAAATCAGTCATCATCATCATCATCAGCCTATTAATGTCCCCACTGCTGGGGCACAGGCCTTCCCTATGGATGGAATAGGGAGATTGGGCCATGAGGAGCTCGATGGCGCAGGTGGTTAGCGCGTTCGGCTGCGATGGTTGACGTTAAGCAACTTTCGCAGTGGTCGGTCATTGGATGGGTGACCAAAAACATTTATCTCGAGTTCCTCCGTGCTTCGGAAGGCACGTTAAGCCTCTGGTCCCGGCTGCATCTGCAGTCGTAAGCACCCGCCAATCCGCACTGGGCCCGTGTGGTGGTCATGGCCCAATCTCCCTATTCCATCTATAGGGAAGGCCTGCGCCCCAGCAGTGGGGACATTAATAGGCTGATGATGATGATGATATAACGTTAACGTTTTCATTACGAATCGTTTACTTCAAATATAATACCCATGTTTACTTAACAATGAGTGGTTTATTGTTATTATTACTTAGAATTATTTTTTACTATTTAAACAGTTTCTAAACGTACCAATTATAATTCTCTTTATTTACGTTTCATGATCGAAAACGGAATACGAACTTCCTTCAACGCAATATTTAATCGCAGTGTAATTAATACGTTATGCTTGTTAGTAGAAAACAGATTTACTATAACGAATTCACATTTTCAAGTGGTCGCATATTGACCGTTATCCGATCCATTTTATTTCTTCTGTCAATTACCTACTATTCCATCTTACTAATTTATAAATTAATCTAAAGAAAATATAACTAGAAAAAAATCCACGCGGACCAGGCAGCAGACGGGACTCGAACCCGCACCCTTCGCAATCCGGGCGAATGCACTGACCAATTATGCTACCGCGGCCCTCACGGACCGCGTCGAAATTCTTCTAGCCATTCTTAAGCTGCAAGGCAGTGCCATCTCTTCGCATTATAGGTAACCCACAATGTCAAATGAATACTTTTACAAGTATTAAACATTTGAAAGAAGAAATAGCAATTATAGTTAAAATTTTTATTATTATAAAGCATGTAACTGCTTGATGTTTAAATCTAAAGAAAATATAACTCCAACCCGCACCCTTCACAATCCGGGCGAATGCACTGACTGACTATTTTTCTAATTATATTTTCTTTAGATTTAAACATCAAGCAGTTACATGCTTTAAAATAATAAAAATTGTAATTATAAATTAATGTTATGATTTGTATGTTTGATTGGTTACTCAACTGAATACTGAATTGACTGAGACGTAGCTTAGTAGACTTTTTATCCCCGAAAAATGTTAGGTTATGTTGGGTATAGGGTTCACGAAAAACTAAATCGGATGCAGTTGTATCCGGTCGCTACTACTTCCATGATTATTAGTTTCTTGTGTATGTCAAGTTAAACACATGTCAGTATGTGCCAGTATGTGTAATGTTTATTTGAATCTTTGTAATTAATTAATATAGAAAACTTAAAAGCTTCCTGCATTCCGTTTCCCATGATGACGGTTTGAAGCCAATGTTTGAATCGCTAAAATTCGGTGATAATTTTTGTAATCGAGAGATCTTAGGTACGACACCGAATAGTCATGCGTTTTATATATTTGCAATTTGTGGAGCAACATTTTCAGTACACCAAAAAACTAACTATATAATTTTTTCTATTAATTATGCTCGCTTAGGGTTCAATATCCAGAGGTCCCTTACAATAAACGTCATATTAATGACTTTTGATGTATATTTTTCGGTTTTTTTTAAACACTTTTTTTTATTTTATTTTATTACCATTTAAACATATAACACCAACATTAATTACAACATCCACAAAAAACCACATAGGGGTTTAAACTAGTAATGCGTTGTTCGGACATTCACATTATTTTACATTCTAAAAAAAGTTTACTAGAAAAAAATCCACGCGGACCAGGCAGCGGACGGGACTCGAACCCGCACCCTTCGCTATCCGGGCGAATGCACTGACCATTATGCTACCACGGCCCTATTCGCCGCGTCGAAATTTTCCTAGCCTTAAGCTGCAAGGCAGCGCCATCTCTACGCATTGTAGGTAACCCACAATGTCAAATGAATACTTTTTCAAGTATTAAGCATTTGAAAGAAGAAATAGCAATTATAGTTATGTTTTTATTTATTTTTAAGCATTTAATTGCTAGATGTTTAAATCTAAATAAAAGTTTACTAGAAAAAAAAATTCAAGGTCAGTGCATTCGCCCAGATAGCGAAGGGTGCGGGTTCGAGTCCCGTCCGCTGCCTGGTCCGCGTGGATTTTTTCTAGTAAACTTTTCTTTAGATTTAAACATCTAGCAGTTAAATGCTTAAAAATAAATAAAAACATAATTATTTTACATTGTTTGGGAACTGGCTTTAAACAAACCTTTAAACACTATTCAACTAATTACTATGAATAACAGATAAGAAACGAACAAATTGCAGTGCGATAACACACACAGGTAAAGGGCGTCACAGCACGGTTATAGACAACTTAACAAATACAGTGCAACTGCAAAGATAAGACATGAATTATACAGCATTATTATTTAATACATTTTAAGTTGATGAATATAACATAATTGTGATGTAGAGAATTCGATAGTTGGTAGAGTAGCTCCATCAGAATCCGAGGCCGCGTCGAGATGCAGCAAGGGAGGTCGAATGGGTGGGAAAGACAGGGAGAGGAGAGCACGGTTTTATAATAGTGAGAGGCTATATTATTTCAACAATTTTCGTAGCTACATAAGACTTAAACAGAAAAATCATCTCTCGCAATTCAGAATTCAGATAATCTGTTTCGGTGTAAAATACTGATGTAGCACTATTCCTTTTTGACTGTCGGCTCACATAGATAATGATCGATCGATCATGCTTTATGGACACACACAAAGCGATGACGTCATATCCGTTTCCACATTACCTCGCTCCGAATACATTATTAATTATTGTTGACACATGTGGTAGATGTATGGCGAAGTCTGGTCTGATACACAGCACTGGATTTGCTGAATTTTAATAAAAATACGTATACTTACCTACCTTGCAGCAGCAACCACACAGTTGCGATACCGCAAAGATTTCCTTCGTTATCATGATGTCTGGTCAAGTTATATTTAGTATAGGTATATAAAATCCTCGTGTTACGGTGTGCGTAATTGAACTACTCCGAAACGGCTTGACCGATTTTTGTGAAATTTTATATACATATTCAGTAGGTCTGAGAACCGAACAACATCTATTTTTCACCCCTATAAAACTACAAACCTACGTACCCATACAAAAATAAATTCAAAAAAGTTTGACGCATAAAAAAATTTAAGGGTGGACCATCCTTAACATTTAGGGGGATGAAAAATAGATTTTGTTCGATTCTCAGACCTTCAGAATATACATATAAAATTTCACGAAAATCGGGTCAGCCGTTTCGGAGTAGTTCAATTACGCACACCGTGACAGGAGGAATTTTATATATTAGATTATCGTTTAAAATTATTTAAATTTCGACTTTTCGAATTCGTAATTACAAGTTACAGTAAAGCTTCTGTAAAAGAAAGTTTTACAGAGTAGTTAGTGTCGTGTGTTTCACGACACTCGCGCAATCATTTATTTATTTGGTTAGAACAAAGTTAAAACATTTAAATAGCATCCACGAATTTGCACGGGGCCCAAGTGATAAGTCATGCCCAATCTCCCTTTACCGTCAAACTATTAAACAAAACTTTAAACCAAGTTCACAGCCACTGCCATGGTTTCACAGCCACTGCCATGGTCACCCACCCAGCTGCCTCGCTAGGTTTTGAATGGAAACTCTTAAAATTTTTCGCCAAGCTCTCATCCGCCATACAATCCGAAAAGAAACTTCCTTCCAATAAATATGACAATTGACACTTCCAATTTGTCCGTGTTTTCAGGTGAAGTACCTAGGTCAAAGCGACGCACGAGGCCTGTGGGGTATCAAACACACCAGAAAACCAGTCGACCTGATGGTGGCAGCAGCCAAAGCTTTACCACCTGGTACGTATTTCTTAATATATATAGCTGACCCGGCGAACTTCATGTCGCCTAACAGTCGATGAATGTGAATAATTTGAGTAAAAAGGTTATAGTGGGTCAAACTGTACGTACGTACGTACTGAGGGCGTGTACCATCCTAGGCCTTATCATCGCTTTCCATCAGGCGAGATTGTGAGCAAACGCCTTGCCTATTAAGCATTAAAAAAAACTTAAATTGTGGACATATGCTGCCGAAGACTTTTTTATAAAACTTTTAAAGGGAACCGATTCCGTCACACATGATTTTTGTGTTACTTTAACCGTTTACGCAGCATACGCAACAAAAGCCCTGAAAAGGAATATTTTTTTAAAATACATCGATAAATGCTATCACAAAAAAAACTGAATCAGTAGTTTCTGGGCTGAGCTAATTAGCGCGTTCAACCAAATAATAAAAGAAACAAACTCTTTAACTTTATAATATTAGTATAGATAATATAGATGAGGAAAACCTTAAATGAATTAATCTTTACTATTAAAGCTGAAGTTGTTTGTTTGATGCTTGTTACTTTCTTTGGTTGAACGCGCATATCTCAGGAACTACTAGTTCGATTTGAAAAATTATTTTCGTGTTTGATAGTCTATTTATCGAGGAAGGCTATATAGCATAAGGATACTACCAATAGGAGCACTAAAGAAAAATGTTGCAAAAACCGGAAAAATGTTGTATTTGAGAGATTTCGCTGCGTGCGCTACGAAAACGGTAACAAAAATAATGCATTACGGAATTGCTCTTCTTTAAAAGTTCTATAAAAACTACACGATAGGTTAACCGATTTCCTCAAATTAATAATAAAAATAAATAAATAAATATTTCCAACACTCAAACCAATTGGCCTAGTCGCAATGTAAGCACTGTAAGGCTTGTGTTATGGGATGCTAGGGTAACGGATAGAATACATATACTGTACGTATATAAGTATATTTATAAAGAAATATATATTAAACATCCATGACGGAGTACAAATACTCGTATTCGTCACACAAACATCTGCAACCCCCGGGTTCGAACCCGGGACCTCTCGAGTCGGCGACACCATGAAACCCGGCGTACAAACCACTCGACTACGGAGGTCGTCAAAAGAATGCGGGTGAAAGCGCAGAGCACCTATATATAGTATGCCTATGAAATTGGCTTCAACATTCAGTACCAACCTTTTTGTTTTCAGGACAAATCTTGCCAATAGTGAGGCTGACCATATCCGTAGACGGTGTCCATTTAGAGACGATAGACCAAGGAGCGCGTCTCAGCGAATTCGATCACATGTCCGTGTTCTTCAACATCGAGTCCATATCGTACGGTGTACAAGACCTGGTCTACACCAGGGTATTTTCCATGATCATCGTGAAGGACAACGCTGATGTGAAAGGATTGAACCCGTTTGAGTGCCACGCGTTCGTCTGTGAATCCAGGTCAGTCTCTTTTAAATGTCTGTGGGTATTTACATATGCTGCTGGCTCCACCCCCTCCGCCACAGCATATATGAAATTCGTCCATAGCACAAATAGGTACAACCGCGACTGGCTTTCCAGGGGGCCAATCGCCTAACTATATAAGTACTAAAGCTATCGCTATCGCTTACGATTTCTTACTGTTATTTCTGACCGCCGAAGGTTTTCAAATACCTCGCGCTCTTTTTTGTTCTTTTGCATTGGTAATAACATTATTGAAGAAAATGAGCGTAAAGTATTTGAAGGCATTCAGCGTTCGGAAATAACAAAATGAAATTGTTAGCGATAGCGATAGCTATATAAATCCCGTTAGGCCATTAGACCCTAATGATGTCAATCAATTTAAACAGTCATGAATGATAAAAAACTATCAGTCATTATCCGTGACTGAAAAAGTCATCAGTGCCCATCAGCCACCCCGTTAGACGTCAGATTATCCATCAGTCATAACCTTGACTGCCTGCAAAATTATAGCAAAAACTACCTTCTAATGGCCGCCCTATATCCTGGTAAAATTCTGAAGTGCTTACTGTATCATAAGTCTAAACTACTTAAGTTTTCTCTTGCTTTAAGTCCAAAAGTCTTATGAAATAAGCGCTCAGAATGCTGCAGAGTATCCAATTTGTTGACGAGGAAAACGACGCCATAAGCATTAAAGGAGGAGCGATGGCGTAAGTGGTCAGGGCTTTCAATCTGCGATTGTAGAAATGAAACAACTTTTGCAATGTCCGATCGTAGTATGGATGACCAAAATTTTACTATCACGTGCTCCTCCCCAGCTGCATCTACAGTTGCAAGCACGTACCAGTCCACATTGAGCCGGCGCGATAGGTCATGAACCATTCCATCGACAGTGAAGGCCTGTGCCAACAATAATAAGCTGATCATAAAATGCTCAAGTGTTTATCGCATCGTAAGTCCAAGGAACCTAAGGTTTCGTCTCTTGATCATAACGCAACGCTGCAGTATGCGGCATGCGATGCCGGACCCGTATAAAAAACTTCTAGAAAGGTATTTTAGCCCGTCACAGCATGCATCGGCAGTAAAGGGCCTCTCTGACTTTGCCATATGTTCATAAGTCTAAAAGTATTCGAAATGCCCCAAAGCTTCCTAAGTTCTGTTTTTGAAAATGTCACCATAAGCATTGCAGAATGACCCGTTACTTAAGGGCAGATCCAGGGGGGTCATGATCTACCACTGGGCTGGGTCCATCTGTACCCATTTCACAAAGCTGGATCCGCCCTTCTGAATCTAGAACTGAACAATCGAACCTTTTATTATCTTAAAGGTGTGTACTGTCAAGAAGTTTGCGTAATATGATACATCTGTAAATATAATCTTATCTCACACACTAGAAAATTTCTCATGATAAGTTCACTTAAAAGCGTCTGTCCGTGTTATCTATTTGGCTCGTGAGAAATTCACAAAATCTGAGTAACCTTTTTTGTTAAGAGTACTGTTTTTGTATTATATTTTGGCTGGATAAAATCTTTAGTCATTTTAAACGACCTTGTTTATATTTTATTTATATTCCATCTAAATTGATTACACAACTTTAGATTGCTTGTTGCAACGTTTGCGATCCATAATCCACTTATCCGTTTCCCATCCACATAGCCCAAACCAAGTAAATTCCTCGCTAATATTAGTTCGGCAGCTATGGGGGATTGTCCGTTAGTGCATCTCAATGGTTAGCTTAGGTTTAAGAGTTAGACCTCCATAGACGCAGCCATCTCACTTTTTGGATAAAACGGTACTAAAAGGCCTCTTCATATTGGCCCCATGAACGCCTCAAAGGACCAGGTCCCCATGGACCCTCAGCCGAAAAGCGTACCAACATAATAATATAGAGGAGCTCGATGGCGCAAGTGGTTAGCGCGTTCGGCTGCGGTCGTTGAAGTTAAGCAACTTTCGCAGTGGTCGGTCATTGGATGGGTGACCAAAAATTTACTATCTCGAGCTCCTCCGTGCTTCGGAAGGCTCGTTAAGCCGTTGGTCCCGGCTGCATCTGCAGTCGTTAGCACCCACCAAGCCGCACTGGGCCCGCGTGGTGGGTCATGGCCCAATCTCCCTATTCCATCTATAGGGAAGACCTGTGCCCCAGCAGTGGGGACATTAATAGGCTGATGATGATGATGATAATAATATTAATAATCTTTATTGTATAACATCACAAAGGACACAAAAGAAACAAAACATTGACAGAGAGATATTACACAGTTGGGTTAGGGAAGGTAGGGCCTTCCAGGCAACTCATGATAGATATTGGTGTAGATTCTGACACGATTCTCTAAACTTAAAACTCAATTGAACATCAGTCTCTCCTTTTCATTATGTATAGAGAATGACAAGGATATACTGTTGTCAAATTTAAGTTTAGCTTTAGAGAATCATGCTAGAATCTACACCTGGCCTTTTAATAATAGTTTTTCATTTTATTATTTTAGAAATGCTGCAAGAAGGCTAACGTACTCCTTGGCTGCTGCCTTCCAAGATTATTCTAGAAGAGTAAAGGAGTTGCAAGCATCACAAGGTTAGTAAATATTTCTGTCTGTGTGTACGTTAAATAATTCTGTCTTAGTGTGTGTCGTGTCTAGTAGGGTTATATTCACATATTACTAGACCTCTTGAATCAACATTTTTGTGGGACGATTGCACCAATATTCCTAAATCTAATTCGGGTTTAAAATAAATGTTAAATGAACCTTAATCATGATTAGCTTTTAAAGATTTAAGAACTTAGGTGTAAGGGAGATTCAATTCAAATTTAAGTTTCACCCAGTTTAGCACATCACTTTATCCTTGTAAACTTTTTGTATTTGAAAGTGATAAAATAGAAGAATACAGATACTATTATTAATAAACGAGAAATATGCTTAGACTGACGCAGTGTTTTGTTCATATCACTGAAATGCCATTTGTAATTCGATGAAAAGAGACAAAACATGGAATAACTAATCAAAGCTTAAAGCTTCGTTTAATAATAAGGGGGAAGTTTCGCTCGACAATTAGGTAAAGAACGCGCAGTGAATTTTCTATGAAACTTTTTCATTTTTAATTTCATTTAAAAACTTTGGGGACTTTCTTCAATTAAGGTTTTCTGGAATGAGATGACAATATTGATCAATAAGGTTCGCTCCTCTGTCAAAACGACTATGTCTTCATTGTCTATGAGCGAATTCAAATACTAGGTCAACAAAATCGCGCGTCTTTCGGTCAAATTTTATTGTTATTACTTGAGACCTATTTATTACTCGATAAGTTTGCACCTCTTTTCCGCTTCGTCATCTACGTTTTTCTTAAGTTTCGCAGATTCTTGGGACATCGTATGGGGACATATAGCCAGCCATCCAACAGGTCTAGTCTACCATTACAATTATCTTCTTTGTCCTTTACAACTGTTTCAATCTCATTATTGGTCTTCTGTTTTGTTAAAAATATCTTAAGAGCTTTGTAGGACCTGGACTATCGGCTTTATGTTTCTATACTTTCCAAGAAAGTTGTCACAGAATTATATTTATAGTATCCTCTTTTAATGCCACTTGCACCAACATTTCTATTTGTTTCATAGATCATGGGGTACCCGAATTCGAATATTGACAATAGCGTCGATTGTGACATAATTCTCTCTTAAAAATAAATTTAAGATCAGTCTCTCCCTTTTCATTCAGTATAGTGAATGACAAGGATAGGTTTAGGGAATCATGCCAGAACACTCTAATCCATTTTCTATAAAGGTTTAAGTCAAATTAAAATAAAATGAAGACAAAACAGGATTACGAGTGGCTTTTTAGAAATTTGATTTAAGTACGTTGGTGCAAGTCGGCCTTATTGTTCTGCAACTAAAGCTTCTGTTATGTTTGTTCTCTTTGTGGCATTAAGAACACGCATCACTTCATATTACTGACGTCAATTATTTTATCTTTCCAGATCCTGATGAAAGGCCTCCTATCCTGAAGAAGCGGTTTGCCATTGACCTGAGAACTCCTGAAGAAATCGAAGCCGATTTGGAGACGGAGGCCTGACGTCAATTGTTTTATTTTTTGTTTCCTCGTACAATATTATTTTTAAGGCCAGTTTTCAGTTGTTACAACAGGGTGAACTAGACCTTGAAGCGCCGAAATCGGAACTAAGTGTAAAAATATATAAATAAGTGTTTTCTCAAACAAAATCGGAAATTTGGCCATTATTTTGACAACGTTCCTCCGTGATAAATCGAAATTACTGTACTGGAAACATACATGCGAGCAGCGGTAGGCAAAAGTTGTATGAAAATCCATGTCTATCGTGTTTAGCGGCCAAATTAACTACATAGTTAACACAAAACTATCGTGTAATTTAAAATAGAACGATCTTTTACTCCGAAACGTGTCTTAAAGGAATTTTGACGACCTCCGTGGTCGAGTGGTTTGTACGCCGGGTTTCATGGTGTCGCCGACTCGAGAGGTCCCGGGTTCGAATCCCGGTGGGGGCAGATGTTTGTGTGATGAATACGAGCATTTGTACTCCAGTCATGGATGTTTAATATGTATTTCTATATAAATATACTTATATATGTACAGTATATGTATTCTATCCGTTACCCTAGCATCTCATAACACAAGCCTTACAGTGCTTACTTTGGGGCTAGGCTAATTGGTGTGAGTGTCGGAAATATTTATTTATTTATTTATAAAATTTGAAGACAATAATGAATACATGTAACATAAAAATTACTACGTTCTTGATTTTTCAAATATTTAAAACAGTACCCTTAGCACGAACCAAAATCGAATTCGTAACGTTTGCGAATCCGAAATGAATGACATTTCGGTCAAATCTGTACTGATTTTTAGTTCTCGTTACGTACTTTGTGGCGCTGCTGTTCAAGTTTCCATACAAAATTTGACATTGACATTTCGGTTTGCAAACTATTCGAATTCGATCATGGTTCGTGCTAGGGGTACAGGTCATATACATACGTAAACGTGGAATAAGCTTAGCCTAGTTACGCCGTGTTTTATCGCAGTCACTCAAATGCTGTTTGTCATTCAATGAACAGAAACAAAACATGAAGCAACTAATCCAAGCTTAGTGCTTCGTTTATTAAAACGGGTCATGAGAAGTAGGGTCATTTTGAGGACTCTGTAAACAAGGGGCATGGTGCCAATATAAGTTTTATTAGCTCTGTATACCCGGCCATTTTAAGTCTGGTAACAGCTGCCTAAGATAGTAGCTTATGATAATAATAAAACACAAAGATAAAGGACATCGTAAAATTTTGTATGAGCGACTGCCCTAGCAATGTATAAATATTGTACTTAGTAATCTAAAATGCAGAATGGCTGAATATTTATTATTTCTATTAAAAAGGGCTCAGGAACTTTTGATAAAGTCACAATCTTGAAAATTATGAGATCTCCTACGACGTCATTACCTTGCTACATTTGATAAAAGATGTTGCCAATTATTTACAGAGCCATCAATTTTGCAATTTTTTAGAATATTTTTTCACATTTATCTGATTAATACTTCACAAAAAGCATTTTTAAAGATAAAAATAAAAACAAATAATTTGTTGTTGTCGGCCTGACATGAAATCTGTGAAGTTTTATTTAGTTCATTTGCAAAAATCAAAGCATTAATTTTCATATAGCCTTCTCTCAAGCCTGATCAGAAAAATAAAATCTATTATTTAAACCTTCAGTGATTTATTATAATAAAAATAAGGGCCAAATATGTCATAGTTTTTGGGAGTTTTGAATTAATATTGTTTATTTCGATATATTGACAGAAATATTTTTAGTATACATTTATTGTTCATTTGTTTTAGTAAAACGGAACATTTTCCTTTTGAAACAGACATGAAGTCAATTTTATACTTTTAAATATTTGATTATTTCACGAAAGTTGTATGAGAATTATAAACACGTAATAATTAATAAAAAAATATTATAAAATTAAGGGCTAGTGCAAAATAATTATACATTTTAAGGGCAGTTTCTTAGCCATGTCCTTTTATTTGCATAGAACATGCTACAATCGAGTTCTTAAATTATTTCATTTCGTACACGCGTATTTTACTGAAACATCGATAAGCTAGGCTTGCCAACCGTCCTGTTTTCCCAGGACATGATAGTTTTTAAGTAAGAGGTTTTTAGAGGAGCTCGATGGCGCAAGTGGTTAGCGCGTTCGGCTGCGATCGTTGAATTTAAGCAACTTTCGCAGTGGTCGGTCATTGGATGGGTGACCAAAAATTACTATCTCGAGCTCCTCCGTGCTTCGGAAGGCACGTTAAGCCGTTGGTCCCGGCTGCATCTGCAGTCGTTAGCACCCATCAATCCGCACTGGGCCCGCGTGGTGGGTCATGGCCCAATCTCTCTATTCCATCCATAGGGAAGGCCTGTGCCCCAGCAGTGGGGACATTAATAGGCTGATGATGATGATGATGAAGAGGTTTTTAAACCGTAGATTTACTAATTATCTTTGCAATTCGTATCGTTATCGTTTAAAACGTATTGTCCTGGTTTGTTCAACTTCAAATCCTACTTTTTAAAATTTTGGTTGGCAACCCTACGATAAAAAACATTCATTCTTGTCATGTCTGAAATTAAATATAATTTAACATTTCTCCATACATTAAAACAATTTATATAAAATAATAATAATAATATTAGATACTACAAGTCAATATTTAAGTATCAATAGAACTGCAAGAAAAACAACACAACTTCACCATGTCATTAACACAACTTTGACAACAATGAGGGACACTATCGCCTAGAAATCCGCCGCTAGAGGCGCTTGTGTAGCGTGTGGTCTCCGAAATGTCTAATGTCACTGCTTGTGGGTTGAATACGCGGGTTTATTTCGAATTAAAATTATGTTGTGAATAATAATAATTTGGTAATAACTCACATTAACTTTAAACACTTCAGGAACTCACTTAACAGTGGCGCCATCTGATGAGACAAAAAATGGTAGCCCTCATTTATGTAGCGGATGTCAAAAAATTACACGTCAATAATTAAATGCCAATAATGTACAATAATAATAGGAACAATGAACCTAAAACTAAAAACCTTAAAAATATAATATAATAACTAAAATATATTATTAAAAGGAGGGACTCATTTTAATAAGGCAAGTTCCGAAGATACTGGCAGCGTTCTCCCTTTGAATTGCTAAACTAATTCTTTGTCCGAGGTAGCTGCCAGCTCTGTAATAATGTACTACGTAATATATGTTTTATGTGCAAACCATAGCCAATTAAGAGAAGAACAGAGATATTCTTTAGTGACACTATGCCCTTTGTCACATTATCCCTACTCTTTTTAATAATAAAAGATTCAGTGAGTTGTTTATTTATTTACCTTATGTTTAAATCATGTAGCTTTTATTTTATGTTTCAAATGGTATTTTTTTAGACAAAGATGTAAATAGATGATAATTTTATACGGTAGAATAAAACCAAAGCATAATACTTTGTAGGTGGATTTTTAAATAAGAATATTATAGCAGGAGAAATAATTTGACTTGGTGATTTCATAGATTAAGTGGTCAAAATAATTATATGTATATAACTAAGTATATTTAAGTAGGTACTTAATTATTAAATACTTACAAATAGTTACAAAGTATTAGTGCAAAAACTGCAAGTGAAATATTACCAAACATTCCATTATGTGTGTTTTTATTCATAAGTTCAATAGAATAATATATAATTTATTTAATAAATATTTTATGTAATATTAAATCATAGGAAAGAATAACTTTTTCGTTTAGATATGCAGTATTATTCTGGAAGAACAAACTCACTTTTCACCTCGGAAATCACCGGTGTCATTTGAAATTTATTTGAAGTTAGTATTTTAATTTTAAATCAGACCGCGGATAACATGGTGAAGAGTGAGTTTTTAAAGTGAATCTTCTTTTCGAACGGGGTGTAATTGGAAAAATCCTATGGACAAGATGACACGGAAATACGTCGCGAGAGTCACACGACTATATATATACCCACACACACACATATATATGTGTGTGTGTGTGTGTCTGAGAGAGATGCGAGCATGAAGGTTAGAGGGAAACTCGGCGAAGGCTGAAACCCTACGGGCGTCACACGGGAGAGTATTAATATATACATTTATTTAATAATAATCACCTTTATTTCTCAACATAATCACAATGTTCACAATGTTGGTATTAATGGCTACATAAAAACAATGATATAAAAACATGAAACTTTTTACCAAAAATAAAAGGTATGTATTGTTCAGATTATGGTGGGTTGACACCTGAACTAGGATGAATCCTACGTCATAACATCTACCTGCATGCCAAATTTCAGCCCGATCCGTCCAGTGGTTTGGGCTGTGCGTTGATAGATCACTATGTCAGTCAGTCACCTTTGAGTTTTATATATATACCTAGATGTAGTTAAACTTAGTTGCAACTCAAGCTTATTTTTTTAGGTGACCATGACTTGAGACTAGTCTTGTGAATCACAAATCTTGTAGTTTCCGAGTCCTTAGCGACCTACTAAACCTAAAACTTCATTAATCGAGTATTAAAAAAATTCAAGTCTTTTAAGATTGTACCTACACCCATGCTTTAACACGACTATTAAAGTTTCTCAAACAGCTTTTTGCCACCATCCAAAATTATTTTTAAGAAATTTATTTTCACTGCTGGATGTATAAAAATAACTTTAATAAAACTTTGACTTTCAACACATTTTTATGTAAAGAAAATTCATCTAAACATGTCTGAAAATGTTCTTTCCCGGACTTTTTGTTTTTTAGAACAAAATTATCTCCGTTATTTTTCTGAAAAATATGTATGTGTATAGTTTGTATATTGTTTTTTAAGTTAATTAAACCTACGTTTGTTTTGAATGAACTAAAGTGCTTTTATTTATTTACTTCCAGCTTAAGGAGAATGCCAATCCTGGTTCCACTTAGGTCTCACCTTCCAGTAGCTATGTGTGACATCGTTAGATTTTTATTTTTAAGCTGATTAAAAGTTACTATGGCGCCAAGTTCCAAATTTTAGTCCGTTCCAAGTTATCCTTAATTAAACATGGCAGTTTTAGCAGTAGCCAAGTAATGCTAGTTTTACCTATTAATTGTATTTCTGTGCTTTATACACGCAGTTTAGTTACCAATCTACAGGTATATCAATTGCGTTATTAGTCACAAACCTTTTTATGAGTCTGCCTCACTCGCACTCATTAAATAGCGATAGGGATTTGGCCTACAAATCCCTATCGCTATTTAATGAGCCTTATTTTTAAATGACGTCGTTGTAGACGACGATAATAAAATAAGTGTTTTCAAAATATGTTATCGTTGTTTTGTTTGACAAAAAAACATTTGTTAAAATTGATTTTTAATGTTGTGTTACTATTTAATTAGGAATAACACGGAACGGACTAAGAATTGGAATTTGGAGCTATAGTAAATTTTATTTAGCTCAAAAATACCTATCCAACCATGTGACACACATAGCTAAGGTATTGGTGGGACCAGATTTCATAAAAACCTTAACATCATTCATACCGATTTTTATATTTAATTAACTATTTTAATGCTAGATTTATCTAGGATATCATTATGGCCGATGTACATTATTCCAGTAGCATTCCAGTCCAGCGATAGAATCCAGAGCTGGAATGCTGCTGGAATAATAATCTTATACAAAAAAATATATAAAATTCTCGTGTCACAATGTTAGTTACCATACTCCTCCGAAACGGCCTGACCGATTTTTATGAAATTTTATATGCATATTCCGTGGGTCTGAGAATCGGCTTCTATTTATTTTTCATATCCTTAAGTGATAATAGTTGTCCACCTGTAACGTAGTGTTCTGAAACCTAAAATGCGCCTTCGCGCCAAAATTCAAACTATTGGGTATTGTAACCAAAGAGTAGTATTTATATATTGTAACGTAGTGTTCTCATAAAGGTTAGGAAGAATGTTATCCCAGTAAATTGGTAGAACACTACGTTACACACCCCTAAAATTTTTTTTGGACAATATTTATTTTTTTGTAATGTGGTATAAAATTACAATTAACAATACATCCCAAATTTTGCTTTTACCACCTGCCCCTATTTTTATGGCGGTACGAAGTTCGCTGGTAGAATATAATAATAATAATAAGGCACTGGAATGTTCCCAATCCAGTGATTGATGATCTACTCTTCATTTTAGTTCACACAGTGCCCCTGGAATAGTTTAGACTACCATTCCAGTACTGGATAGAATGTTTGACAGTGAAAATTATCAAAGTGCTTTTTTTGTAACCATTGTCCCTATAGTCTTACCAATTCAACAGTTTTGAAAAGACTGATGGAATAATGGACTGGATTGATTCGCTGGATTAATGGACTAGCATAATGTGAACTTATTAGTCTACGAAATGAAATGAATGGAATGAAATGAAATTATACTTTATTCAAATTGACTTATTGAAAACTCTTTTAAATCGTCAAATATTTTTCCCATTCAGAACATCTTATAGCCGATGGGAATGGGCGCAAGAAACTCATCAGCAATTAATGTCGCTACCAATAAATACAACGGCCACTCACATTTTGATTGCTCTATCATACAGTATAAAATACAAACAGTGTTCATATTAGGTATAAGTGTCGCCGCACAAGGACCACACGCGATAGCCACAAACGCCGCCACGGGAAGCTAGAAGTGGCTACAAAGCCGGTGGTCGACACTTGCCGTCGGTGGCTGCTACTTTTTTTAACATATGCGTGCAGTATCATTGTGGACTCTGACGAAAAAAGTTTGAAGGAGGGGAATCGCGCAAGTGAAGTGTGGCGGCGTTTTGTATCGGCGCATTAGTGTCTGGTGCGGGCCACAAGAAGCGAGCAGCGACGCTTTGTATCGTGAGGCGGTTACCGGGCGGCGGCGTTAACCATGCGCGGCGAGTCCATATAAAATGTATGAAAACTACAGGAAATATACCGGTGGCGGCGTTTTGTGATTGTGGCCAGTGGCCCGTGTGCGGCTACCCTAATAGACAGCATCTAAATCTACGATCGTGAAAGTTAAGCAATTTTTGCAATAGCCGGGTCATAAGGTAGGTGACCTAACATTAATTAGCCATCTCCTCTGCGCTTCGGTAAGCACCTTAAGTTTGTCCTGACTGCATCTACAGTCGTTAGCACTTTTACCAGTGCATGCATGCACAATTATTATTACAGTAACTTGCATAGTGTGTCTCTCAGTTTGGCGCCTAAAGAGCGGCCCTTGTAGTGTAGTTTAAAACTGTAGTTTTCAATCTAATCAAATAGTAAACGTCTTATTGGTTAGTTGATGGTTATTGTTCCAAATTTTAGTTTGATCAGTTTTCACAAGAAAATTCAAAAAAAAACCCTGATAATTAATATATCAATGGGGAATTGAGGATAAATTGGACCAGATTAGACAGAACAAAGCTTAAAAAAACGAAACTACCTTAATTAGCATGATTTAATTCATACAAAACTTTCAAAAGTAACCGAAACTCTTCTTTAGTTTTCATGACTTCTTCTTCATGCTGTTCTATGTATAGCTCATAGTTGTCCTCTATGCCACTCTTAGCAGCAGTTTCCACTAAATCAAGCATTCTGGCAACTGTCAAATGAAGCAACACTTCCAAGCATTGCTTTTTCCCCGAATCCTTGAGATACAACTGTTTTAAGTTCTGGAACCATCTCTGATTTTTGTAATTTGTAACCGTGGCTACGCTTCTGATCGCGTCATGTAGCTGAAATATATTATTGATGATTAATAAAATGCAACTTGTCAAATTTAAATACAAATTAGGCAGTTCACACGTGATGCTCTAAATTGTTTATAGTTTTTCATCTATACAGAAGAAAAGTCGTGTAGAGAGAGGCAAGAACTACGGGAGGAGAATTTAATAACTGATTTTATAATTTAAAAATGGTTACAAAAAAGCATATGATCCAACTGATGGTCAGGAGCCGTAGGCTAGGCATAACTTGTTGAAGTGAAAACTTCTTTAGCGGCGTTGTACATTTTTTTTGTAATAGTAGTACGAGAGCCCACGACCAAAATTTTTGTCTCATAGCAATACGGCCAAAACCGCATCAAATCGATAGATACGATTATCTTGAACTCGAAAATACCAATATCAGACATTTTCCGCGTAGCGTTTTATCTGACCGAATTTTCAAAATTGTCAAAGAATTTTACCGAACTGCATCATAGCAATATGTCTGATTTGCAGACTGTAGTTAAATGATAGTTCTGAGATACCGGAAACATATTTTTCAGACGTTAGTCGTGTAGCGCAACAAACCCGTAAAATCACTTAAAAAAATTAAAAATGAGACAAAAAAAATGTCTTATAACATTACGTCGGAAAATCTTTTTTATTAGTAAATTTTGGTTAAGTGATGCGAACAAAACAATTTTCAGACGGAAATGTGAACGCATTAAATTTTGAGACCATTTTGAAAATGTTAACAAATTTTACCGATCGGTATCATAGCAATATGTCTGAAAATTGTTGGACATGATAAAATAAGTTGTCCACATGTGCAAAAAATTTATATCAGACAAGTTAAGTGTAGTACCTTCTCCATCAGACAACTTTTCGATACTCAGATATCATTTAAAAATCGTATTGAGACATCTTGAATTTTCTGTTACAAACCAATCAGGAGCGTAATAAGCGCTGAGGCTGTTGAAATTAAATACTGATTGATTTGATAGTTTTGGTTTTATTTAAAGCACACTTGAGTAACTTTTACAAAAGAAATAAGTAATGACATCTGTCATCTGTCAAAGTACATATAATAGACAAGGGAGATTCTTGAATATGTATGAAGGCTGTAAATTAAAAAAAACATTTAACAGAGGCGTCGGCCAGGCGACTCCGAAACGTTATTTTCGTTTTTGGGAGTATATGCTACACTTAAAGTGTCTGAAAACAGGTTTTTGGTAATCATGGCAGAAATATGAAAAGTTGAAAAAATAAATATCCGTATTGCTATGATACAGGTCGGCTACATTTGTTGACATTTTCAAAAATGCGCTCAGGCTATATGCTACGCGCAAAATGTCTGAAAATAAACTTTTTCGTAATACAATTATAAAATCTATGTACATTTTCACTATCAGACGTATTGCTATAATACCGACTGTCTTTTTTTTTTGACACAGCAGAAATGGCCTCCCACGCAGTTGCTACACTTTCGACCGTTACTACACACCTAGTCGGGTTCAGAATCATACAATGTAACGATTTTATAGGGTTTTTGCCGTATTGCTATGAGACATGGTTTTGGTCGTGGGCTCTCGTACTATAGGTAAAACTGTTTAACTCGAGTCAAGACACGTGGCCTGATCGCGTCCGGACACGTGGCCTGATCGCGTCGGGACGTGACCTAATCCAAAATTCGTAAGACGAAAACAATAAAATTGGAAAGGTTGTTGACTTTCAATATATTGGACGAAACATAGTAACATTTTATTTTAATGTATTAAAATATTAAGTCTCTAATTAGGACGTCCAGGTGGCAGCTTTGTTGCGAAGAAAATGCATTTTTTTACAATAGATGTCGCTAGGTGCGCTTAAATGTGATTCATGTAAGTTGATTTTTCTGAGAGATAAACTTTTTAATATAATATAAATTGTCATGTTTGTGTACGATAGCGCAATCAACAAATATTGTAATTCTACCACATAAATGACTTTTATACTGATAATTCAAGCAATTCGTGCACAATTATTCAATAATCATTCCAAAATATCAAAAATGCACAACGTTAAAATTCAAGTTTTCACTTCTGCCGGCACTCCCAGGGTGTAACCAGTCGTTTCTTTATTTCACTGTGGTCTTCTGTGAGATTATTTCCTCATTTGGGTGGTCAAGAGGAATATTCGGTTCATTTTATAGGATAAATCAGACTATATTTTGGCATTGGTTGGGTCTGAGATGCTATCCGGTTATGATAGTCAGGTAAACAATCAACCGCCTAGAACATCTTCCGAAATCGTCTTTGCTATTGATCGGGGGGGCATTCGCCTAACGGAAATGCTTTGGAAAACGCTAACGCTTTCGATTTTATTTTGTTATTTCTGACCGCCGAAGGTTTACAAATACCTCACGTTAATTTTTGTTATTATTATTATTACCAATGTTGAAGAAAAAAAAGAGCGCGACGCATTTGAAAACCTCAGGCGGCTAGAAATAACAAAATGAAATCGTAACCGTTAGCGTTTTCCAAAGCATTTCCGTTAGGCGAATGGCCCCCGGTTGTCGATCTGTACTGTAATAACAGGACATTTTACGTACTTCATTAACTCAACTACAGCCAGCATATATAAAAAGTAAGCAGTGTTTTATGCATTCGTAGAGTAAAACTGGTGATTACAGGTACACCACAACAAGAATAATATTCCTCGACGACTTCCTTGGCTCGAGTGGTATGAACGCTTGTTTTCAAAGTGTTGCCTACTCAGAGGTACCAGGTTTGAAACCCGGTGGGGAAAATGTTTGTGTGATGAATATGATCGTACTTTAAACATGGATGTTAATATGTACTTCTAAATAAAAAATATAGGTTATATACTTATACATGTATCAGTATATGTATTTTAGCCGTTACCCTAGTATCCCATGACACAAGCCTTTCAGTGCTTTCATTGTGGCTAGGAAAATTGGTATTTGTTTTAGAAATATTTATTTTATTATACTTACGTCATACAAACCAGATCGAATGTCTGCCAGAAATTGTTTCAGCTCCTGCAATCTTTTCCGTTTATGTCTCTGTTTATCTGGACGCCTCCCTCTGATGTACAACCATGTTCTGTCTAACAGCCCTTTAGCTTTTAAATACTCCCTCTTTCTACGTTTGCTTCTTGGCAATAATGAAAACTTCCTTTTTGTGTGATTACCCTTTTTTGGTACACGTAAATTGTGGGTTTGATCGAAAGAGGATTTCGAGGTGATAAACAAATATTCAATGTATTTCAACAGTTGGACGTCAGCTGGATGTAATTGTTGACCTTTTTGTAAGTTTTTGCTAAAATCAGTACAAAAAATGGGTTAGTGGGTAGATACTTACATCTAGGTACATGAATTTAGCAATAACTATAATTTATTTGAGTACTAATTTAAAAAAAAACTAAATTCTCTAAATTATGAACTTAATTTTTCTTAAATAAAAATACTAGAAGGAATTCCACGCAGGCCAGGCAGCAGATGAGACATCCATCAAAATATTTAAAATCTAGTGAGCAGTTAATTGATCAAAAATAAAAAAAAACAACTGCACATTAATTTTTATTTTTAAAATCTGGCAAGAATATCAGTATAAGTTAATCCGTATAGCTTTTTAGCAAGGCACATTTTTTTTTGTTAGAAATGTAGTCCATAATTTCCCTCTGCATTTCTTCATCATTTGAGGAGATCGATGGCGCAGGTGGCTAGCGCGTTCGGCTGCGATCGTTGAAGTTAAGCAACTTTCGCAGTGGTCGTTCATTGGATGGGTGACCAAAAATTTACTATCTCGAGCTCCTCCGTGCTTCGGAAGGTACATTAAGCCGTTGGTCCCGGCTGCATTTGCAGTCGTTAGCACCCACCAATCCGCACTGGGCCCGCGTGGTGGGTCATGGCCCAATCTCCCTATTCCATCCATAGGGAAGGCCTGTGCCCCAGCAGTCGGGACATTAATAGGCTGATGATGATGATGATGATTTCTTCATCAATTTTAAAGTAACAAATGCCTAAATAATTTATACCCTGCTCATATCTCTGATACTTGGATATACACTTACATAGATATTAATAGCTTCTCCAAGGCAGACTGTATGTCCACAGTACTACCCAACCAATCATACTGAGCCAAAGACTCATTTTCTGTGTCTATCATATCTCTCAAGACATTTAAAAAAGGATTTATTTCATGATTATCTACTTTACTTATCTCCTTTGTCACAGAATCCTCTCTAGTTCTTGCTAATGGTATATTATATTTGAATAACTCATCCAAGTGTAAAAAGGCATCTGTCGGATCGATCGCTAATATTTCTTTAATCGTCCCTCTTTTTTTATCACTATCATTTCCTGATTTATTTATTTCTTCTACTTTAGCAATTCTAGATTCGTAACTATTATCGCATTTACTACCTTTTCTTAAAGAACATGAATTATGCCTCAGTACGTTCTCTGAAAAAGTAAGTCTGTAGTTAATATATTATATAATTAATGTGTTAACTATGTTATGTGATTTAACATCGCACCTGTTTTTAATAGTCTGTTTTCATCTTGATCCCCGAAATAATAGTCAAGAGCTATGTCGTCATCATCGGGAATGGAATATTTTTTATTATCCGTCATATACATGTCATAATTTCCTGGATTACTCGACCTCAATAGCTTGAACGTCAACTCTTCTTCACTTTCAATTAGAGGCGCTGCAGTAGTACTCAACATATTGTGACCAAACATATGACGCCCATACAATACTTGCCTGGTTCCACGTGTGAGGTCTTTTGCTTGTCCAGTTTTTATAGTATTAAAGACATGATCATCATCATCTGAATCAGGAAAAAATTTCACTTTCTGTTGTGATTTTCCATCTAAGGGACGCATTGATCGTCCAAAATAATAATCCATATCTAAATAATCATTGGGATTGAAATATATTTCGGAAAATCTTGGAGTTTTAGCGACGACGGGCATTTTTAACTTATTTGGTTTTGAATTCCTGACTATATACTTGTTCCCTTTTTCGGATCTTTTTTGAGTGAACTTGAATTTTCTTAAAATGCTTTTGATTAATTTGTTTTTTTCTTTTAATTTTATATTTTTATGTAAAGTTTCAATTTCAAAATTACCTTTTAAATGCATATCTTCGTTAATATCATCATGGTTAGGACCAAGTCTATTATACGAATTAAAATAAGCTTGATCAGGTGAATAATTATAAATAGGGAAGTAGTGAGGTTGTTCCTTGTTTACTGAATACCGTTGTATTTTAACTTTTTTCCGTTCTGTTTTTTCTATAAAAGGTGGTTGGTCTGCGGCTAAAATTATTTTAGATAAGAAAACAAAAGAAAAGTTAATAACTAAAAAAATACCTACTCAATGTTAATATTAACTTCAATCTTAATAATACATACACGTGTACGATACTAATTACTTACGTATTTCATATACTTCATAAGGTTTAGATATTTTAGGTAGCTTTGGTAGATGTAATAATTCCTCAACTTTTTCTTTGCTTTTGTTGTGACCTTCACCATCTTCGTCTTCAAATTCAATGCGGTCGCCACTTCTAAGAGCCTTTGCAAAACTTTTTAAAGCATTCACTTCTGTTGTTGCATATTTTTTTTCTTTGGGAACTTTATAGGTTTTCAAATCGCTTACAGCTTTGTGCACTATAGTTGAAACTCTAGCCAAACCAGGGAGAATAGTAATAATTGGTAGCTCTGTGGTGGCTGCACTCTCAATAACTATGAGTGGATTAGGAGTTTCATTTTCGTTTTTATAGGAGTCGTTTTTTATTTTCGTATTAAAATTACTGATAGCTGTTGCACTTTCTGCACCACGTCGTTCTACAGGTTTATCTTTATTCAATAAAGAATCTGTAGTAATTACTACTTTTGGAATTCTACTAGTATTTGATTTAGTTGGGTCAACAGCATTGTTATAAAAATCTTTATTTTCAACAAAAGTCGTGTTCTTTTCTAATGTATTGTTTGGCGGAGATTTGATAATCTCAGTTTTTTCAGACTCATTCCCTGAAGACCTTAAATATCTGTTTCGTTTTGCCTCAGTGTCATTTTGTGTATGGTTTTTCATTAGCGTTGTTGTAAGCGTAGTGCTTTCTTTGATAGTAGGTAGCGTTGATAGTTTAGTGGCATTTTGCGTTGTTTCTAAAATTTTAAAATTTTCAGTTGTAGATAATTTATCGGTAAAAGTTGATAAATATGTGGATGTTTCTTCATTTTCGTCAACATCACTAATTACAGCGTCATTAACCTCACCTTGTGGTTCATATATAGATGCAGTATAATGCTTATTAAGTTCTTCACTATGAGAAATATCTGATTTTTCCATATTATCTACTTGCTTACCACTATCTTCATTAATATGTTTCTCTGTGGTTTCATCGTCTGGTTCATAATCATTGATAACTGTGTGCGTTCTTATTTGTCGTCTTGACCCTCTAGCTTGAATATCTTCATTGTCAGATTCTTCGTTTTTCTCATTTGATGTAAAGTTACTACCTTTAGCTGATTTTTTCACATTACTATCGTAAACAATTTGTACCGGTACCTTATCAGTATTAGCAACTTTCGTTTCTATAGCGCTGTTCCTTCTTATTCTTTCGCCATTTCTCAAAGTCAAATCGATGTGAGCAATATTTCTTAAACTCTCTACAGATTTGTTTTCATCAAAGCCTTTGACCTTTAAAGATTCCTCCCCTTTTTCTTTATTTCTATTTTCCTCACGTCGCATATTGTCTGTTTCTTCCCGGAGTATGTCTTTCACGTATTCATCATGTTTATCTAATTCATCGTCAGGAACCTCCCCACTTTGTGCAGAGTCTACATTTTTGTACTTAACGTCTTTAATTAAACGCCGCGCAATTATATCCAAGAAAGCTTGTTTCTCCGATTCCGGCAATAAATCTATATATTTTTGATCATCATCTTCTGCCTTAACAATATTATTGCACGTTATAATAAATAGAAGTAGAAAAATCATTTCAAAATTTTAACCATTCTTCAGAGAGTCATGATGCAGAAAAATAAAGATAAAAACTGGAATTGAAAAACATACTCACTTTTCATTTGAAATTGAGCGTGTGGGCATAAAATTAATTGATACGGTGAAACACAAAATTGTTTCATTTCAAATTAAAAATTGTATTCTTATCGTTGTATATTGAACTAATAATCTAAGTACATATATTTAATTAGTCTCTATTTTACTTATTTCGGAGTAAGAATTAATGAAGAATCAGATATAATTTTACATAATTTAACGTGTTCTTTTAATCAGCTTTAAACAAAAACTATCTAATTCAAGTCTTAAAAAATACTTAAAATAAAAACTAAGGATTTGTATACTTACAAGCTTTTATGATAATAATTACTTCCAAATCTTTTCCGGAGTCAAATAAAAAAAAAACAAGTATTGCTGCGAAAAGTAGCCAGTATTCAGCACTCTCCCACTTAAGTGTCAACAACAACGAATTTCGTGGGACGAACTTAACCTTGACCTATTTACCTACAAAGGCGAAGTACAAAGATTGATATATTGGTCATGTTATGTGATCTTAAGGCTAAGAACTGACGACGCGATTTTCTCACATGCCCGCCGCGGTTGCAGAACTGCAACTCGCGTGGAATGTGAAATTGTCGATAATACACAAATTTCACGGCGCGTTTTACGCCCGCAGATCGTATCTTTGCCTAAGGCTAAGAACTCACGCCGCCGGCGCGGGTTCCCGCTGAGCTGTTTTATTTCAAAACTCACAAGAACGCAGTTTTCTGCAATCCCGCAACCGCACCGCGGATGCGAAATCGGGCGAAAGCGAAACCCACCATGTCTGCGCGCCCGCCAGCGACAAGCTCTGCGGGCTTTAATCGCGGCGTGAAATTAGCTTTTGCATTACATACACTTACAATTTTGCATTCTACGCAAAATGCTGTCCGGTAGCTGCGTCGGGCGCGAGAGTTAATCGCGCCGTGAGTGTTTAGCCTAAATTATTGGTTCATTTGTCTACAGAATATATTTTTAATAGTATAGGTAATTTTATCAAGAGCTATGAAAATAAAATAGGTACTTTTTAATGATAAACTGCAAAGCGAAAGACTGTATGGACGAGCCATTTACGAACTTATTGCTTACGATGTGTTAGAAAATCTTATGCTGCAATTACATTTGGTTGTTGTTGTTGTAAGGAAATCTACCCGAATACGGGCGTACTCGACTCCGATCATTTACACTTAGTCGTTTACCCGAATTCCATTGGCACTCGTATTCGGGCTAACGACCATTATTCTATTGTTTTCGAAATACGACATCATGCCATTTAGATATAGCCACAGGAATTTAAAACAATGTAACTACTACTGCAACTTTATGTAGATTAAGATATAAGACGTAAAGATACGATTACTAAATAAGAACACAAGCATCAATAAAAGCTATTTAATTTACCTTCTTTATTCATATTTACAAATATATCTTAAAAATAATTTGCGTAAACAATTTCACTTAACCAATAACATTCTCAGACATCAGCCCTAAATCTCAATCCACCTCGACTCGTTTTCCTACTGCTCCGACCCATACTCCTATCTTCGATAATTTCTTTTTCGTCGACGTTAATTACTTCCTTTACTTCTTCCACATAAGGTTCATTATTGATTGGCATATCAATTATAACTGGAACTATTTCCTCAACTATTTCTTCTACAGGTTCAGTATAACCTACCACATCATCGACTCCAACAATTTCTTCTTCTACAACGTTTTGAAGGAGGTTTTGCACTACCAGATTCTGTTTTCTTTGTCTTGGGCGGTTCTGGATTTTTCTTGCTGGGATTTCCTTAACAGGCTCGACTTGTTTATTTGGTTCCATGTTCTGGTCGTTCCCGTCGTTGGAGACTTTCCCTATATCCATGTTTACGTCGTAGAACATTGGAGATTCTTCGCATGGTATAGCATCAAGTTGTCGGGTACAAACAAGCACCTCCTAAAATAATATTTATTTTAATAAAGGTTAAAAAAATATCTCATTTTTATTCTTCTAAAAGACTTTTTGATTTTGATGCAGTAAATTAAGAATAATATTTGACATATGACAATTATATTTTCAGGCCTAATTGCACCAAAGTTCTTAAGACATACTTAAAAAATTATCATGTTTCAATCTAATTCTATCTCTTTTTCACTTTAAGCAATTTACAAAGGAGGAATGACAGTATGGTTATTTTTGTCAGGTTTAACGTGGGTAAAAAGGATCATGAAAGTTTAGTTTAAAATAATAAAGTTGGTGCAGTGCAGTGCATTAAAAAAAATCACGAACATTATTAATCAGTTTAGATTTATGTTTTTATTTTATTTTACCATTTAACTGCTAGATGTTTAAATCTAAAGAAAAGTTTTACTAGAAAAAAAAATGTGAGTTACCTACAATGCGAAGAAATGGCGCTGCCTTGCAGCTTAGAGCTAGGAAAATTTCGACGCGGCCATCAGGGCCGTGGTAGCATAATTGGACAGTGCATTCACCCGGATTGCGAAGGGTGCGGGTTCGAGTCCCGTCCGCTGCCTGGACCGCGTGGATTTTTTTCTAGTAAAACTTTTCTTCTACTAATGATTTATTAAATGTCAAAGTTCGTATGTTCGTACTCAATTACGCCAAAGGGATTTCGATTAAATTTGGCATACAAGTGTTTATTACCTGGAATGAGACACAGGAATAGGACACTTTTTATGTTAGAAAAAAATTTGATCCCCGCGAGATTCTCAAAAAACTCAAGTTAAACTAGAAAAAAATCGACACGGCCATGAAGTTCGCGGCAGCATAATTGGTCAGTGAACCCTTCCTGATAGCGGCAGTGCAAATTCAAGTCTGGATAGCGTGGATTTTTTTTTCTACTAAAATTTTCTTCCAATTTAAACATCTTGCAGTTAAATGCGTAAAATAAAACTAAAGTTTTAAGATAGAGAAACTGTAGGGATTTCATCGAGAGTCTCCGTGCTTGGTGAAATGAGTGGGGAGGAGTCCCGGATAACTCCGCTACGCTTCTCCCGGTGCGGTGGGCGGAGAATGCGGAAAGCATTTTACAGACATAAAAAAGGTACCTGATTGAATACAGTTTCCTTGGGGCATATGAAGCTCCATCTGTACGTGACATTTCGTCCGCTTGGAGTCTGCGACGGCAAGCACACGTGGAACACTTGACACTCATTGTCAACGTCGGCATAATATCCGTAGGTGCGGTTCTCACAGCTGAAACAACGATCGCAATACTCTTGAAACCAAACCAACCAAAGATGCAATTAATTGTTTGAGTTGTCGGAAAATTAACTGGAAATGTTTCTTGGAAAATTCTCTAAACTACGACTTGTAATAAGGGCATATTGCGGTGTCATGGTAAGTTATGGGAAATTTTGTGGCAATATTTCCCTGAAATTTCCCGCATTAACGGCGAGTTCCCGGTGTCCTTTATTTCAAATAAATTACTACCCTCTCAAATTATCTCATAAAGTACTTCTGGTTTTATAGTAGTATTGTTATACCTGAATGTATCTGTAATATTTTCTCTGATGGAGGTTGAGTTCGCTGGCAGATTCAATGTGTCTGCTCCCTTAGTATCGTTTGTCATTGCCTGTAACAATAATCATAATGGATAAAAAAATGTGTCTTATAAAAATCTTGAATCATATAGCACCGTTTGGTACGCTAGTGCAAGATAGATAGTACAGAAAGTATTCTCAATACGAAGAACGCCCAAGCACATGTTAACTCGGACCCCTTGAGACCAGTGCGCGCCCGAGTTCCATCCGCCTAGCGCGTCTGTAATTTTTTATGTAAAAATCTAGTAACAACCTTTTTTTTAATAAATTCATTAATACATTATCCTAAATACTGTAAAGTACTGTAAACAATGTAGTCGACCCACACGGCCGCCAACAGTTTCACATGTTTCAGAAATATTGTTTCGGAAATACGTAGATTTTGCTTATGAAACAGTGTTTACAATTTGTTTCTCAGTGAATACATGACATGACAGTTCAGCGGACGGTGGTTTTAATTCAACATTTAACGGTTAATTGTCGTTGTTTTTAATATGTACCTAATATAACAATAACATTATACATATTATTAACAATAACATATTTCCATTCTTTCTAATTCATTCTCAACAATAAATCAAGTAACTACATATGTACGAGTACCACTACCACGATATTTTCTGTACAAGCCAAAGTTGAAATCCTAGCACGACCACCTAACGTAATGGAGTGATTACACTTGATCGTTAGCCCGAATACGAATGCCAATGGAATTTGGGTAAATGACTAAGTATAAACTAACGAAGTCAAGTAGTGGATAATCCGACACCGTTTTTCAGTCAGTTTTCCAGTAGATATTGCTTCGGGTGCCCAAATTCGAGTAATCTCTTTCGGGCTAACGACCAAATTAAGCCATAAGTATGAAAAGTGAAGTACTTCTGCACTATCTATTTTGCGACGTTAGTGTCAATGTTCAGAATCAGAATCAGATTATTATATACCCGCGACTTCGTACGCGTGGAGTTAGTTATTTGCACATAGTTTTTGACCCCAAAAGGGATTTATTTCTAAAGATACATTATTAGTACCTACACCTCTGCACCATCTATAGAGCATACATGTTAAATTTCAAGTCTCTTACTTTAAAAACATAGGACTTTCATACAAACTTTCAACCCCCATATTACCCCCTTAGGGGTGGAGTTAGCGTGATAATATGTAGCCTATATGTTGACCAGACATCTTAATAATATTCGTGCCAAATTTAAAGTCAATCCATGCAGTACTTCTTAAGTTTATCCCGGACATACATACAGACAAACAGACAAAAATTCTAAAAACTATATTTTTGGCTTCGGTATCGACTATAGATCACACCCCAAGTATTATTTTAAAAATATATTCAATGTACAGTTTTGACTTACCTACCATTTTATAATAAGTATGTATAGATTGTTTTAAACTTTCATGATCACTAACATTATAGCTATTAACGGGATTGTTACCATGTACCTTGTTTTTTTACCATGTACCTTGAGTCTCCGACATTTCGGCACTGTTGCAAGCGCCATGATCACGGAGAGTAACATCACATTATTGTAATTAAAGATTAGTAGGTTACATTAAAGGTGTTACAGGTAATTTAACCGCTATCTGTTTGCAATCCAATACTAAGTACTTGTGTAAAGGGTCTTCTTTAGCGGAAGCATTCGGTGTGAATGTAATATTTCAGTATCTACTTTGAGAATTACATCAGGCAGTTGTTCCACCGCCCGCCAAGAAGCGATTAACTATCGGCTATTTTCTCGCTCAATAAACGTACAATAGATTATTCTAGCGAGTATACTATCAGAACTATCATTTTTCAGCATGGGTTGCAGTCCTGTCTTTCCCAGTGGTCACTTTGGGCAAGTGTCCAGATCCCCGCGATCGATAGGGGGCCCCCTCAGATCAAATACAAAATCCTTAGTTCCTGTTAAATCACCAAACGGAAGTCATAGGGGCCCCATTATTCTAATATGCCTAGGGCCTCCAATATGTCAAAGACGGCACTGATGGGTTGCCTGGAAGAGATTGCTGTTTAGCAATAAGGCCGACCTTTGTATAATGTGTCTCTGTCTGTGTAATCTTACTTTTGTCTTCTCTGCGGTGTTAAACAA